TTAATAAAAAAGAAAACAAGTAGTCAGAATAGAAATAGAATAGAGAGTGCTAGAGTTAGAGGGTCAGATGAAGATGGAAGAGATGTGTCTTTAGCCATTTCTTGAATATGGCTCAGGACTCGGCTACTTGGATCGAGTTAGGCAGGTCACCAGGAGGGAACAGTTAAGGTCAAAGTGATTTTGTGCCTGTTTGGAATGATACTATAATGCACTGTTCACTCAAGGTTCCATATTTGGTGATTGTTTTTTGATAACAGTGACATTGTGACAGAAACTGATTGATTTGTGACAGAAGAATGCATACGTTTTTTTGGTACAGTGCCTAAACAAAATCTCACAGGAAACTACATTTTTGTGATGACTTCAAATTTTGAACATAGCTTGCGTAGACGTATGGCTTTGATTTAATAGCACTTTTAGATTACAAAATATTTAGTCAAATGTATTGTATATAAAATAAAAAAATGTTTAGTACAGTAAATTCTTTACAATAAATTTAAACTTCTATAAAAAATTTTTTTTTTTTTTTTTTTTTTTAATGCTTTAACTTCAGCATGGCTTTTAAAAAAAGAGACCAACCTAAGGTCTGTTTTTTCAGAGCATTCAAATGTTCAAAAAAGGGGTTGACGGTTAACAGGTTAAGGATTGAGCATTTGTAAGAAGCCGTCTCAGTGCCATTACTATAGGACGACGTGTTATCGATTGTGTATTTAATAAAAACACTTTGAGTACAGTGACTCATATGAACACACAGTGTTTGTATCACACACAGTCTGCCTGCAGTATTCACGTTATGTGTTGATTTGATTGCTACATGGGTTTGCGGTCAGTGATATCACAGTGTGAAATTGTGTCTGTGGTCTCATATTTATATTAGCCTCTAATCATGTTTTGGTCTCTCTGTTAGAGCTCTGAGCGCTCTGGCCATGGTGCTGCTCAGTCCTGCCTTCACCATCCTCTACTGCGTCTTCATCTACCAGGAGCTCATCGCTCACTCGTATATCCACTCTTAGCCCTTTTCATTTATCCCTGCTGGCTAATATTCTGGAACATTCTGTTCTGGAATTAACCGTTCTCAGATGGAGCTGTTTTTAAAATGAATCCCACTTTGTGCCAATCATGAAGAGTTATTGTCCGTCTGTGGGCATTATCTGCCGTTAGGGATTGGCAGAAGGAAGGTCTAGGAGGATGTCAGGCCAGATAAAGAGGATTTAATGGTGTGGCTTCAACGGTAAGAGTACTTTGGTCGAAGTATTCAGTGTTTCAGTTTTGGGGAAGGGGTTTGCATGAAGACCTATGTAGGACAGAAATTAGGAATTATTATAAGAAAGTGCAAATGTTCCAATTGCATTAAATTTGCATTAATTCAATGCAAGAAATTCAATATTGTTACCAGATGTGTGGACATAATAGTTCATTTTTTACCTTATAATGGAAAAGTCTTTGCATAGTCTGGCATTTTGAACTCTGGGGGACTGGAAGCTTATATTTAATATGGTTTGATACTGAAAATTGTACAAAAGGATTGTGAAGCGCTCTTTTTAACTTAACCAAACGCATTCTATATGAGATAAATCAGATATACATCAAATAAACACAATATTACAATGTACAATTGCACAAAAGGCTGCAAACGAACAGCGCGCATCTGAAGTGTCTCTGAAGGAAATAATGCATTATTTATCGGCTTTAAGATATCGGCCAAATTTTCTTATCAGGCCGATACCGATAACAGAAAAAATGAGCCGATATGGGCCGATACCGATATGGTGGCCGATATATCGTGCATCCCTATTTGTTTGTTAATTCAAATAAATTCAAAATGCAATTTAATTCTCTGTGCACATTACAAAAGACAGAAACAAGACGATAACTCAACCTTAAAGAGTTTCCAAGACTTATTTTCTTCAATGCATTATATCAAATTTAATTTAATTTGTTTCAGGCAACACTGGATTTACATGCTCTGATGAGTTATGCACGTAGGTCTTTGATTATTAAATGTAATTAAAATAACATAAAATTATGCTTATTTTTGTGCATTTATAGAAAGCCTTCCCGTATCTCAAGTGTTAATAAATGAATAATATTAATACAATTTTAATAAGCCTAATAAAACAGCAGTTTGAGTAGTAATACAAAATAAATTAATAACATACAAATTTAATATTATATTATTGTATATTGTGGTCTATCTGTAATTTCTTTGAAAATATGACCTGTTGCGTGATATGATCTGAATAAATAAGCTTTCCATTGATGTATGGTTTGTTAGGATAGGACAATATTTGGCTGAGATACAACTATTTGAAAATCTGGAATCTGAGGGTGCAAAAAAATCAAAATATTGAGAAAATCATCTTTAAAGTTGTCCAAATGAAGTTCTTAGCAATGGATATTACTAATCAAAAATTAAGTTTTGATATGTTTACGGTAGGAAATTTACAAAATATCTTAAAACATGATCTTTACTTAATATCCTAATGATTTTTGGCATAAAAGGAAAATCGATAATTTTGAGCCATACAATGTATGGTTGGCTATTGCTACAAATATACCCCAGCGACTTAAGACTGCTTTAGTGATCAAAGCACCAAATGAATTGCAAGCGCCATCTGCCCGCTGCCAAACTCATCAGAGTTCAAATTCATGGTCCCAAAGCATGCATCGAAGCTGACAAGTACAGTTAGTCAAAAGCAACCTATCATGCAAACTGCATGCACCAGTCTGCACGCTGCCTGACTCGGAGTCCGAAGTGTCTCAAATGCACGGCTGAACTGCTGTCGTCCAAAACGCCATGCAGCAGAGCTGACAAGCAGAAGCAGTGATGAGCAACGTTCACACAAATGTAATGTTTGGTAGCACTAGGCACCAAATCAATCACATGCACCAGTCTAACTCAGCAGACAGAAACATATACAAGGCAAAAGAGGCTTACACATAGGGAGCTTCTGGACTTCAGCACAAGCCCTCACGTGCCACTCCAACCAGAGAAAGCACTGCACGTGCAGAGAGAACACGAGCCTCAAGTTCACACGCTCTGCTTGAATAGTAGCAGGTGATCCTGAAGATCATTCTAATCACGTGTAAATACAAGAGCTCAGATTAAGCCACAGAAACAGCCTCCCGTGGCATGAAACGTTTTAAACACTCATGCATATTCAAACAATCACTGATGAAATGTAAATTCCTTGTAAGTTTAGATGCACGGTACATGTGTGCCTTACTTTAAGATGATAATAATGACATGATGGGATGATAATCTTGCTGTAAAACTAGCTTTCAGCTATTATGCAGCTGGAACCAGCTTCCAGAAGAGATCAGATGTGCTTAAACATTAACCACATTTAAATCCAGACTCAAAACTCGTCTGTTTAGCTGTGCATTTACTGAATGAGCACTGTGCTATGTCCGAACTCATTGCACTGTATTTTATATATAATCATTTTCTATTTTTAACTGTTTTAAATTCATTTTAAATCAATTTTTAAATTCCTTGTTTTATTGTTGATTTTTTTTTATTGTTTTACTTCCTTTTATGTAAAGCGCTTTGAATTACCATTGTGTATAAATAAACTTGCCTTGCCTGTAAGTGTTGACATTTCCACAAATCATCAAAGCAGTTATTAAAAAAATCATGCACACTTCTCCCATACTGTTGTTTTTCAATTAATGAACAATGTTAAACATGCAGAAAGAAAACTCAAGATAAAAAGACTGCCACTGGGTTAATCTCAAGTATGAGAAGCCAGTGTAATTGCGAGCAAGCAAAGCAATAAATAAATAAGCATTTTTATAGATATGGATTTGCTAGACACCATAGTTTATAATAGGCTGCATTATTTTTTTCTTTTGTTGAATGTTACGTTTTTGTACAATCTCCCTAAACTCAAAGTTATGAGAGGTACTCATGCAGAATAAAACATTTATATAAATTCAGTGCTTTTTTGGCAAGGCTATGCTTGTTTAATTTGGCTGTGTTGCTAAAACGAACGTGCTTGTCAGTTAATCTGTTCACAAATCTGTTCAGGAATGTAAAAAACGGAAAGCCCTTCGTTTGTGCCTCAGCAACAAAACCCGTCATGCTTGTGACCTCAGAAGTTACAAAACATACAAGAAGAAAACGAGCAGCGCTGGCTTAAAATAGGCATAAAAATAGAATTATTGCATAAGTATACAAGTCTTTTTTTCTCATTCTAAGAGAGAAGAAAACTTGCACTTGAAAGACTTGTTTGGAAATTTTAATTTTTAAAAATTCACATTTTTATTGCAATCAGCTGTCAGATGACATGAAGACTGAGAGCTCCCACACTTTTTATACAGTCACCATGTTTAAAGCATTGGTTTTGGCTGCTAGACTGATTTATTGTGGCTCGGTGAATTCATCGTTTGTCTTGTTTTGCCACTGGCCTAACACTGTGCTGTTTGTCCTGCCATAATATAGCTGGATTGCACAGCATCTCTTCATCAAAGGGTATTTGGAGACAAAACACCAATCAGTGGTTTGTTTGATATATTTTGTTAGGCCGTTCAATTTGCCTGCCACTGACAGATTTCACACTGTTAAATCTAGAAAAAGAACATACTGACTTCTGTCATGCAATCCATTTAAAAAAAAGAAATTATAATAATTTTAATTTTTTTTATTTTATATTCTCCTGAAAGATTTAAAACCCATGTGGAAATATTCTAAACCTCATGTGCATTATTATGAAAACTGCTGCATATGTTATTATTAGCTGAATAAAGTCTTTGTTGGGTGTTTTGTCAGCTGATTTCAACTCATTTCTGTTTCTTGCATTGTACAATCACATTTCGTACACCTGATTGCATCACAGTTTTCAGCTGCGTGAAAATCTCAAATCCTGTTTGAAGGAATGGCTATTGTAAAGGCAGCTCAGGCTCTTGTACAATGGGCTCGTTGTTTAGTAAATGCTGCCATTGGCTGCAACAGCGGTCAAAGTCAGAGTATAAAACCCATAAACTCAGGGCTCTGCTGACAAACCGACAAGAACAAGCCGAGTCACAGACGCTATCATGGTTAGCCGGTAAGCGACCTTCTTTTTATTCTTTCCTGTATAACACAAGCTTTATAATGCTTATGTTTTGGATTTATGCTGTTTAAGTCATTGGGAGCATGTCTGCAGTGATGTTGTAGTTATCTTGTAGGTACACTGTAAGTACATGTAAGTGCACATACTGTTAATAAGACTTATTCCCTCACTTTTCAGTTTTGAGCACCCTGCTGGAGGCTATAAGAAAATCTTTGAGACTGTGGAGGAGCTAAACGAACCTCTTCCAGCAACCGTCACTGGTATTTTCCTCTGTTTTCATGAATTTTTGGCATATTTATTGACTGAAAATATTCTGGGGGAAAAAGTGGAAAATGTAAATGTATCTTAATATCAACCACTCAAATTCCTTCCATAAAAAATGCTTTAGGAGGAAAAGACGATGTGCTTGTTTGACCTGACAAAAACCAAGCGGTTTTTCCCAAATTAACATAACACAAAACCAGTCATAAGGGTAATTTTTGTGAAATTTAGATTTATACAGCTGAAAGCTGAATAAATAAGCTTTCCATTGATGTGTGGTTTGTTAGGATCAGACAATATTAGGCTGTGATACAACTATTTGAAAATCTGGAATCTGAGGGTGCAAAAAAATCTAAATATTGAGAAAATCATCTTTAAAGTTGTTCAAATTAAGTTCTTAGCAATGCATATTACTAATCAAAAATTATGTTTTGATATATTTACGGTAGGAAATCTACAAAATATATTCATGGAACATGATCTTTACTTAATATCCTAATGATTTTTGGCATAAAATAAAAATCTGTAATTTTGACCCATTTTTTTGGCTATTGCTACAAATATACCCCAGCGACTTAACACTGCTTTTGTGCTCCAGGGTCACAGATATACATTTTGGGATCAGAGTCTGGAAACGGCTTGAATTTAACCTCAATATATCATAATTTCCTGTGTATGGTTTATCAAGACGACACAAAAACACTTGTGTGTAATGTGCGTTGTTTGTCGGCCGCATCCCCTCGTTTATTAAAGGCAGTCTGCTCCGACTGGGCCCCGGTTTGTTTGAGGCCGGATCGGAGCCCTTCTACCATCTTTTCGATGGCCAGGCCCTCATGCACAAGTTTGATTTCAGCAATGGACAGGTCACGTATTTCCGCAAGTACGTCAAATAATCTTCACGTTATTGTGTTGTTTCCTGCTCCAGTTAAATCTTTAAAAGAAAATAATATAAAACTCATCAGTGTTATTTTGGTATCAAAATACTATTATAGTTTTTATAAATATTTTGAATCTGTTTTTATTTTGTTGTTGTTGTTTTTCCATTTCAATTTTAGTTTAATAATCAAATAATATTTACGTTATTGTGCCGTTTCCTACTCCAGTTAACTCTTTAAAAGAAACTAATATAAAACGTATTAATATTAAAATAAATAAAGTTTTAATTCATATTTTGAATCAGTTTTTGTTTATTTTTCCTTTTAATTTTAGTAAGAGTTTGTTAATTTGTTGTGCATTTCTTTTTTCTTTTTTTTCTTTTATATTTTTATTTCAATTTTTTTGTTTTATTCACAAGTTTTATTTTTTGTAGGTTTGATTTTATTTTATGGTTTTAATTAATTTCATTTAAATTTTTGTTAATTTAGTATATCAACTTAAACTCAGTTAAAATGAATATGTTGCTTTGGCAACTAGCTGAAATTAATTAGCTTTTTTTTTTGTTTTCGTTTCAGTTTTAAGTTGAATTAATAACCGTTATCCTTGGCATTTTTTCTCACAGGTTTGTCAAAACAGATGCTTATAAATAATCTTCACGTTATTGTGTTGTTTCCTGCTCCAGTTAAATCTTTAAAAGAAAATAATATAAAACTCATCAGTGTTATTTTGGTATCAAAATACTATTATAGTTTTTATAAATATTTTGAATCTGTTTTTATTTTGTTGTTGTTGTTTTTCCATTTCAATTTTAGTTTAATAATCAAATAATATTTACGTTATTGTGCCGTTTCCTACTCCAGTTAACTCTTTAAAAGAAACTAATATAAAACGTATTAATATAAAAATAAATAAAGTTTTAATTCATATTTTGAATCAGTTTTTGTTTATTTTTCCTTTTAATTTTAGTAAGAGTTTGTTAATTTGTTGTGCATTTCTTTTTTCTTTTTTTTCTTTTATATTTTTATTTCTATTTTTTTGTTTTATTCACAAGTTTTATTTTTTGTAGGTTTGATTTTATTTTATGGTTTTAATTAATTTCATTTAAATTTTAGTTAATTTAGTATATCAACTTAAACTCAGTTAAAATGAATATGTTGCTTTGGCAACTAGCTGAAATTAATTAGCTTTTTTTTTTTCTTTTTTTTTTTTTTTGTTATAGTTTTTGTTTCAGTTTTAAGTTGAATTAATAACCGTTATCCTTGGCATTTTTTCTCACAGGTTTGTCAAAACAGATGCTTACGTTCGTGCTATGACAGAGAAACGTGTTGTAATTACTGAGTTTGGAACCTGTGCTTATCCAGATCCCTGCAAGAACATCTTCTCCAGGTTTGATTATTAATTGCTGTAATTCAGCATGCAGGGCATAATGCTTTGGTGCATCAGCATTTTCACATTTTGTCACTTTTGGCAGGTTCTTTACGTATTTCAAAGGCGTTGAGGTGACCGACAACTGCCTGGTAAATGTTTACCCTATTGGAGAGGATTTTTATGCTGTCACGGAGACTAATTTTATCACTAAAGTCAATGTGGAAACCTTGGAAACCTTGAAAAAGGTAAGACAAAGACTTACTGTGCATTGATTTAAAGGGGTCATATGATGCTGCTAAAAAGAACATTATTTTGTGTATTTGCTGTAATGAAATGTGTTTATACGGTTTAAGGTAAAAAAACACATTATTTTCCACATACTGTACATTATTGTTTCTCCTCTATGCCCCGCCTTTCTGAAACGCGTAGATTTTTACAAAGCTGTAAAGCGAGGTGTGCTCTGATTGGCCAGCTATCTAGTGTGTTGTGATTGTCCGAATACCTCAAGTGTGTGACGGAAATGTTACGCCTTTTTGGCATATTTATTGACTGAAAATATTCTGGAAAATGTAAATGTATCTTAATATCAACCACTCAAATTCCTTCCATAAAAAATGCTTTAGGAGGAAAAGACGATGTGCTTGTTTGACCTGACAAAAACCAAGCGGTTTTTCCCAAATTAACATAACACAAAACCAGTCATAAGGGTAATTTTTGTGAAATTTAGATTTATACAGCTGAAAGCTGAATAAATAAGCTTTCCATTGATGTGTGGTTTGTTAGGATCAGACAATATTAGGCTGTGATACAACTATTTGAAAATCTGGAATCTGAGGGTGCAAAAAAATCTAAATATTGAGAAAATCATCTTTAAAGTTGTTCAAATTAAGTTCTTAGCAATGCATATTACTAATCAAAAATTATGTTTTGATATATTTACGGTAGGAAATCTACAAAATATATTCATGGAACATGATCTTTACTTAATATCCTAATGATTTTTGGCATAAAATAAAAATCTGTAATTTTGACCCATTTTTTTGGCTATTGCTACAAATATACCCCAGCGACTTAACACTGCTTTTGTGCTCCAGGGTCACAGATATACATTTTGGGATCAGAGTCTGGAAACGGCTTGAATTTAACCTCAATATATCATAATTTCCTGTGTATGGTTTATCAAGACGACACAAAAACACTTGTGTGTAATGTGCGTTGTTTGTCGGCCGCATCCCCTCGTTTATTAAAGGCAGTCTGCTCCGACTGGGCCCCGGTTTGTTTGAGGCCGGATCGGAGCCCTTCTACCATCTTTTCGATGGCCAGGCCCTCATGCACAAGTTTGATTTCAGCAATGGACAGGTCACGTATTTCCGCAAGTACGTCAAATAATCTTCACGTTATTGTGTTGTTTCCTGCTCCAGTTAAATCTTTAAAAGAAAATAATATAAAACTCATCAGTGTTATTTTGGTATCAAAATACTATTATAGTTTTTATAAATATTTTGAATCTGTTTTTATTTTGTTGTTGTTGTTTTTCCATTTCAATTTTAGTTTAATAATCAAATAATATTTACGTTATTGTGCCGTTTCCTACTCCAGTTAACTCTTTAAAAGAAACTAATATAAAACGTATTAATATAAAAATAAATAAAGTTTTAATTCATATTTTGAATCAGTTTTTGTTTATTTTTCCTTTTAATTTTAGTAAGAGTTTGTTAATTTGTTGTGCATTTCTTTTTTCTTTTTTTTCTTTTATATTTTTATTTCAATTTTTTTGTTTTATTCACAAGTTTTATTTTTTGTAGGTTTGATTTTATTTTATGGTTTTAATTAATTTCATTTAAATTTTTGTTAATTTAGTATATCAACTTAAACTCAGTTAAAATGAATATGTTGCTTTGGCAACTAGCTGAAATTAATTAGCTTTTTTTTTTGTTTTCGTTTCAGTTTTAAGTTGAATTAATAACCGTTATCCTTGGCATTTTTTCTCACAGGTTTGTCAAAACAGATGCTTATGTTCGTGCTATGACAGAGAAACGTGTTGTAATTACTGAGTTTGGAACCTGTGCTTATCCAGATCCCTGCAAGAACATCTTCTCCAGGTTTGATTATTAATTGCTGTAATTCAGCATGCAGGGCATAATGCTTTGGTGCATCAGCATTTTCACATTTTGTCACTTTTGGCAGGTTCTTTACGTATTTCAAAGGCGTTGAGGTGACCGACAACTGCCTGGTAAATGTTTACCCTATTGGAGAGGATTTTTATGCCGTCACGGAGACTAATTTTATCACTAAAGTCAATGTGGAAACCTTGGAAACCTTGAAAAAGGTAAGACAAAGACTTACTGTGCATTGATTTAAAGGGGTCATATGATGCTGCTAAAAAGAACATTATTTTGTGTATTTGCTGTAATGAAATGTGTTTATACGGTTTAAGGTAAAAAAACACATTATTTTCCACATACTGTACATTATTGTTTCTCCTCTATGCCCCGCCTTTCTGAAACGCGTAGATTTTTACAAAGCTGTAAAGCGAGGTGTGCTC